TCTATTTGAGATCCCAATCTCTTGTTGGTGTCCGCCTATGTTCCCCTTTTTTTCTTTTCTCGACAGAAGTACCCTTCAGCATTGAACATTTCTACTGCATAATATAGGATTATATCCCCAATTTAAATTGGGAAAGCATTGGACATGTTCTTAAGAAGTACGGGAATAGGGAATTTGAGTGCTTGGATGGTAATTGAGAAGGAGAAGGATCAATTTTTTCACATTTTTAGTTAAATATGCTTCTGATCTCTCACTTAGATTCATTGCCCTCATAAATTTACAAAGAGCATGTTTTGTTTTCTGCTCTTTTTTGTGTGATATTGATGATTTAGGCTTGTAGATTTATGATCTTGGAATCTTGTGGCATTCATGCCCTTTGAAGTTTTTTATATTTTACTTTTTTCTTTCTAATTTTATTTTAGGAGATTGTTGGTTGAGGTTTTTATAGGATTGTGATTTTTGATCATGCGAGGAATTGAAAATGGGGCATCTAGAAAGAACTTGTTTTACTTATCTCAACATGGATTCTCAAAAAATAATCTAATAAAATGCGTGGGATTACATTTGATAAGTAATTAATAATTTGTATGTGCTTTAATATAACTTAGGGCATCTAGATTATTTGATCACATAAAGCAACAGCACAACAACTTGTTAGCTTGATTTTTCAAGCAGCAGTAATAACTTCAACCACATCAACTTCTAACAGGTTTACTTACAATTGTTTCCCAACTGACTTCAAGTAGCAGCAACTATCCTAAATAGATCTCAATGTAGTGTTTTTAAAAATGTGGATCAACGAAGCGCAGAGTTTACACTTTGTGGTGATTCGTGGTTTTTTACTTTTAATAAATCTAGTATTATTAAAAGCACCTTTTTGGAGAGAGGCAAAGTGATATGATGGCCCTGGGCTTCGCTTGCTTGTGAAGCTCAACCTCACAATAAAGCATGCCTATATCACTGCTTCGCCATATCGATTATTAGCGTTGCGTGCTTGGATCTAGTTCAAAATGAAATCCTAGTTCAAATTTTATGGTTCAATTCAACATTTACCATAATAAGTAGGCACAATTGTTTACTTATTCTCATTATTTTTACTAGTTATTGAGTCTTGCTCATAGATTCTCGTTCTCTCCAATTAGAGCTAGTTATTTCTTAATGGTTCTTCTCTACACGGTTTCTCGGCTTCTAGTTTTATTTTTTGCTACTCAATGATTCTTGCTACTAGTGCTATTAGTTTATTGCTCACAAGCTTCTTCTTGAAAATGTTTATCGATGCCTCATTTTCACACACAATCTCACTCCACCTTACATTCGTCTCACACTTTCTCAGGAGAAGCAAAGCCCGATCGGGCTAGGGCAGAGCGGCGGGAGTCACACACGGGAGGCTAGGGCATCGAGTCGGAGGCGGCGTCGGATGGGCTCGTCGGCGGTGTGGTCGGCGTCGACTCAGGGTACGACGGCGAGGTCGACGGAAGCAGGAGGTTGTGGTCAGTCAGAAGTCGAACGGCTTCAAGCGTTGAAGGCCGACGGGCTTACAGGAGGTTCGGTCGTCGAGCGAGAGCAATGTAAGTTTCCCGAAATCTTCTTTCTTCTTTTTGCTTGCGATTCTGAGAGCGTGAGAGCAAATGAGGGAGAGTTTCCTATTTTGAGTCGTGAGGAGCGACGGTTGTGCGATCGTGGGAGCGACGTGTAGAGTCATGGGTAGTTTCTTTGTGTTGGTTTGATCGTGGCTGAGGTGGAGTCGGTCGGGTTCTCCAACAATTAGAGGTCAACAACTCAACCTCATGAGTATTTTTGATATTTATGTATTATTTTATCACTTTTATTTTTTCTCTTTGATTTTTTTTTTGCTTTTATATAGTTGAAAATTATTGTTATTGAAATCATTATATCTATTAAAATTATCACCTAATGTGGTTGGTTAATTAAACGACTAATGTATCCTCATAATATATGCATGTTTGATAAACAAGTCATGCACTAATTTATAAAGCATTGTTTTACTTGTGCTTTGGTCATTAAAGTAAAAAGGAATCATGGAAGTAAAAAAGAATTATTGGGTATCATATTCATGGTTTTGAAAACTGGACCGGAGATATAACCAAAAAAGAGATAGAGGTTCAAGGTGAAATGGTTCAACCGGGTTCGAACTAGATGACATAATAAATATTAAAAATATTTAAATGATATTTAAATAATAAGATAACTTTGTAATAATTATGAAATAATATAAGGGTTGCTTCATCCAAGAATACCTTATAGACCTGGGTTGGTGTTTGTCTAAGGGGATATATCTGAATCCACTTTAGCTGACAGAGGGCTTTATGCCTATCGAATATACCCTATGATTCATCACTCAAGAGTTTGACGCCTTTAGGGAATATACGGGCTTTGGCCGTGATCGTAATATAATGGTGTCATTTTGCGACAAAACCACCCGATTAGAGGGTACGTGCCACGTCCTTGTTAGCAATAGACTATTTGAGGATGAATTGTAGTGATACTCCCAACATGCATTAAATTTATTTTTGGTAAGAATTTTGGGAGGCATTTTATACTTCAAGTCATGTCGACTCCAGTCTTTTCGAGGAGGATGAAATTTGAATATTAGACCCGCACAACATTCTCGAATCATCGGATTTAAGACTTAGATGTGACGATTGGAGCACATGCGGGTTGTAGTATTTGACCCTGCGCAGCATTCTCGGCTATCTGTATTTGTAATTTTAATAGGTCTATCGGAGCACATGGAGGGATATATTTAGTTCAATGGATCATATTTAATATATTAGGGGCATTTTAAAATATTTAAACATAATCCATTGCGCAAGTGATTTTACTTAGAAAATAGCCCGGGATTTCATTTAAGGGCCTACGAACGCCTTCTGTTCGCTTATACATATGTTGCGGATCCGGTGGCGTTACTCTAAATTAGGTTTAATTTGTAACACATAGAAGATGTCCCTTTGTCATTATTATTCCACTCAGTATAGCTTACAGAGAATGCTTGTTCAATAGACATTAAGAGATCATACTAGTATTCGTAGGAGACTTATCTTGCTTGCTATAAGTTCTCCTATCTCTCCCATAAATAGACTGATTTATTTGATACAAACACTTTGCCCTTGCTTGCAAACTAGTTGTTGTGGGCACTGCGAATTTCCTATTCCTTCTCATAGGTGAATTGTAGTATTTCGATACGAACTTCTTGTTCTTGCCCACAGATTAGTTGTTATGGACATTGCGAACTTCCTACTTTTAAGATAATTATAAATTTAAGAACTTTAAAATTTATTATAATCATTTTTTATTTGAATATTATGTATAATTTTTTTTCAAATAATTCTCATGGAAGCAATCTAACATACACTCATTGTAAAAAGTTATGCTAGTTGTTTAGTTCAACATCACTTAGGAGGTTTGTATTGTGTTGTTTATATAGCTTTTCTTATATTTTGGGTTAAAAGCCCACATGGGGTGATGGAACCATGTGGGTATGATTTACTAATGTTTAATACATAATAATTTAAAATTGTATGATATTATTAAATAAAATTTGTTATATTTAAATTAGTTTATTTTTAATAAAATATTTTATATTAAATTAAATAATTTAAATATATTATGAATTGAAGAGGCCTGGTTTTAAAAACTGAAACTGGTTCAACGGTTGGCCAATTGACCCGGCGGTTCAAACCGGTTTGATGCTGGACCGGTTTTTCATGAAGACCAAACTAGCCATATGAACGGTTCACGATTGAACCGGTTGAACTGACCGATCCAGACCAGTTGTCAAAACCATGATCATATTGCTCCTTAAACAATATAATTCCATCGTCATTGGTTATGGCTGTATGAGGTGTTTTATTTCATTATATTCTTCGGACTTAACTTATATCAGATGTGCTGTGTTAGCTCCAGTGGCTGTCTTCCTTGTACAAATCCTAGTTGTTTGCTTCCTACCCAGCCTATTTACCTGTTTAGTAGAAGTTTCTTTGTTGTGGTTTCCATTTACAGGCAGCTAGACATTATTGGTATCTCGTTTACTGTTTAACATGATTGGGTAGAGATAGCCTCACATATGCCATATAACAAGCAGTTAGGTTCCTGCTGTACTAGCGGCAGATCAATAGCTTATAGGTAGGATTTGTATCTACCAATATATCAAGTCCAATTTGGGCTCTTTAATTCATTGTTTTGATAGGCAGTATGTGGCTCATAGGTAATGATGAGATTTGTAACTCTTATCACCCTTATTTCAATGATCGAAAACCAATAGTAATAATCATGATATTTCTCCTTGATTATGTACTTGATGTCTGAAACATGGTATGTAGGCAAATAACGGCTATTTTGCCTTCACATAGTTGTGTGTTCTTGGGACCAACTTATTTTGATGCATGTATTTGAATATAGATTGAACATATTTCACAAGGTGATTTTAATGAGCAAGGGCAATAATTTCCTACATGAATGTAGTTTATGTTGTCTTAATTCTTGTGTTTATTTAGACTGCACATAATCCTTAACCTACACTACTTACAATTGATAATTAACTATCATTTCCATTTTACACTAAAACCTGCCCTAAAACTGATTTTCAACTTTCCAAGAATGAAGTTTGCCTGTTACCTTTCTGATGGTGCCTTCCAAGTGGGCGAGATCTAACAAGTACTTTAAACTATAAAAGCTCTCAAACCCATTCCAAGCATGGGCTTCCAGCCAAACCAATAAACCACTAAATTTTAAGTGAACTAACTCCTTGATGATTGGCATGCAATGTGCAATAATTTCTGGAGGGGTGGTCTTGCATGATATGGAGAACCCTCACTCTGAGTGGAGATTGAGATGCATGATTACTTCGAATATATGTAATTCACTTGAGATATGAAATAGATAATTAAGATTTGGATCTAATAGAGATGGCCCTAACCCAACTTGGGCATCCGCATTTTATTTCCCTCGAATACTAACCAATCATTGTTTCTCATCTCTAGGAAATCTGACTTTGAGTGCTTACAATGAGGACTGTGAATTTGCTGATCCTGCTGGTTCATTTAGAGGTCTTCGCCGATTCAAGAGGAATTGTTCAAATTTTGGATCATTACTTGAGAAATCCAACATGGAACTAATGAAATGGGAAGAATGTGAGGTAATTTTATCATATTTGTATTTACCTATTTCTAGATTTAGTCTGATAGCATGGAAACTGTAATTTTTTGCAAAAAGCATTAAGTTTTAAATTTCCAAATAAATGGTTGATCAAAGCGAGTAATTGGTTGCCACAACATATCACAGGATAAAGGAATTGGGCACTGGCGTTTTAGCTGTGTCATGTCATTTCCTTGGAGGCCTATTCTTTCTGGTGTGCTTTTTTTATCAGCTACTTGGCCTTCTCAAACTTCTCAATATCTTCTTATATCCTTACTGTTAATTGGAAGTCCTCTTAGTAATATAAAATTTTCTTTGTTTTCCATTCAGCTACTGGATACACGGAGTACTATTTTGATATATATTCTGGAAAGGTCTGCAGGTATTAAGAAATTTCAGTGATTAATACCTCTCTTTCTGCGATTATTTAAATGTTTGTTTGCTTATTTCTTCCATCTATGCTCTTAAAAGGCATGTGGAGCACTGGAATGTCCCTAAAATGGCTCTTCTGAAGCAAATTTTCAAACCGAGCCGGTGGATATGGGATAAAAGTTGAATACCTCAACCACATAATGGTTAGGATCACGGTTCACAAGTAAATAGATAGAACTACATGTAAATTATTTGGTCAATGTATGTTTTTAGTGCAAGGCATTAAGCATTCTACATGTAGAAGCAATGTACATCAACATCAATGTACTCTAAGTTAAAAACTTATATCAGAAGAACAGCTTTTCCGACAATTGATCTGTGTTCATGCACCTATATGCTGTTTTGACTAAAGTGCTTTCTAGCTAGAAGGAACTAAAGTGTTTTCATTGCTTCAGTTAGGTTTTGTAAAGATTGTATAGATACAGACGTATAACTAAAAAAATAAGGAAATGAAAACTGCGATGAACAAACTTATATTTTTGATATTTTATTCAATAAAAACAATTTCTCACTATACAAGTTCCCCATTGTTTGAATTTGGAATTTTGATTGCTGGTTTGGCTAGTTTGATTTGGCAGCTTAGCATGTCCAGACTTTCATAATTTATTTTTTTGCTATTAGATTTGAGGTTGCTTCTTAAGTCAGTTGATCAACCTGTCCTTATGGGTTGAGGCTTTAAGAACATATTTGTTGTGATGATGCTGATAGGGACACTTGTAGAATTCAAGAGAAACCTATCAATGATTTGATTTCAGAGATTTCCCACCACAAATTTCAAAAGTATCAAAGAGGCATTGCAAGAACAATGTAGTAATGGATGAAATAGAGAAGAAAATAACAAGATACAATTGCTCCTCAATTCGAGAGGAGGATCTATCTCTCCCAAATTTTCTAGACGCTGCTAGAGACCAAGCAAACTTAAGCACAAAAACAGAATTCAGCCAATTACAAGATAACTCTAACCCTAATCCCTCCTATCTATTTAAAGCAGACAAATATAATTCCAATTACCAAACAGCTCCTCTCTAAATCAAAACCTGCCTAAACCACCCCCTCCTCTTCAAGTAATGGGCCCCACAAGGGGGGCGACAGCTTGCTTTGCCCGTCTAGAGTAAACCAGCCCAGCCCCTAGGCTGGTTCAGCCGGCCCTCCTTGAGCCAGTCCAGGCCTAACATATGCCTAGCTCCGTATTTGGCAAATATATTAAATAGGTAAACACCAGAGGGCCTTCTTTTGAATGCTATTTATGATTCTCCTTTTTAGGGCTTTATATCATTTAAGCAAGCGTAGGGGTGAAAGAGTATGAGGAACTCTAAGTTGGCACCTGCCATTTCATGAGTTTATGGTCTGTGTAATCAGGTGGTTTGTAAATTGTAACTTTAACTATCATGCGATTTGGATTCTAAAGTACAACCTAAATAATGGTGGGTACAAAAATTCTTTACATCCATATGAAGGAGGAGATCTTTTCAAAATGAAGAGATAAAGCTTAAAAGGATAACTGTATTTAAATAAATGAAATGCCCCTAATTAATGAAGTAATATTTATTTTCTACCTTCTTTTGTTCTCTCGTCCTCATCACCACTGATAGTCAAGAAAATAATTACATTTCTTTGAAAATTCAAAATGATCATGTTAGGTTCTTCGGAGATCCGTTGTGTCGCACGAAAACAAAGAAACTAAATAAATGCACATATTAATCCAGTGAAATGTTAGCTAATTGATTTGAACTTAGACTGTTGGACTCCTCCAAGATATCCATAGCATATGCATATCATGTTAGTAGGCATGTATTGTGTGTATGCGCCAGTTTTAGTTTGGCAGTAGTGGCTCTGTTCTTAAGCGAGCATTGAAGCTCCTTGTTTATACCCTTTTCATTTGCTATCAATTCTAGAGTATCTCTAGTACATTTGAATTTTTTATTTTTCTTGCAAATCTCAACGCAGCATTTCATCATAAATGTTGACCTCTGTGTAAAGTAAAAGGAGCCCACAATAAAGAACAAAACTAAATTGTATTAAGGCTTTCAAGTTACTAGTGCAACTAATAAACAAATATTTTACATTTATGAAGACTATATTGGGCTGTCTCCATCATTTTTAGATTAAATAGCTCTGCAACCAATTCTGCTAGCCCTGCAAGAGAACTGCCCTCTTTCATAATTATATTTTCAGAAGAGAGACACTGATTGCTGCATTATAAGAGTTAACGAGTCACTCTATTGTGAAATTAAGGAAAGATATCTGTACAGAGGAAACCTATCCAGATAATTTTCATATAATTTATTTAGGAAATCAACAAAAAATTTTAAACTAGCAGTGTGTAGTTTATGAACTGCATATCTTATTTTCTCTGGATTATTTTAGCTAGAAATGAAATCAGTGATTGCCTTCTATATCGCTTTGGGTTCATCTGGAGTTGTTGATATGATATTCAAAACCTTCTGTTGGTCCAGAAAGTAGAGATTTTGTTTGATTTAATAACAAATATTGTTTGAAATTATGAAGATTGTATTTGTTACAGAGAACAAGGCAAGGTTTCAATGTACCAGTATTCTCTCGCCGTGCTTCACCCTAGTTCTTCGTTCAAGTTTCCAAGTCAACTACATAAAAAGGATAAAAATGAAAGGTAAGGACTTGTATTGGTGCTAAGTTGATGAGGCTTGATAAGATTTTAGCTTATATAACTTTAATCGTGTTATGTTGAGGCTCAAAAGTTTTCTTTTATATTTCTTGACATTAGTACTTGCTTTTTGACCATATGACAATTATATGAATTAGCGGAAAAAGGAAAATCATGTGATATCACAAATTTTCTAATTTGGAGTTTGGATCTTTTTGTGGGACTAAATTAGGGAATCAATTTCATTAAAACTTGATTAGCATTTATCTTCTTCAGTTATTAACAATTAAACCTATTGCAATAAGCTCTAACATTTGCTAAAATAAAAGTGTATACCTGATTAAGAGCTTCTCCTTGTGCAGTTTAAGAAAAAACCCGTTGAAGCCCAACGTGAAGGTTATTTCCTTGCTTTTCCACTATTCGAAACATTATATCTAAAGAACATGCTAGTGGTGTCAATATTTGACACAACTCAAAAACCCGACCCGGGTTGGGTTCGAGTTTCATATCTTGACCCAATTGACATTTTGGGCTGGGTTTGGGTCAACCCGAAAGCAACCCGTGCTCGTCCGTCATGCTCATCTGCTAGACTTGCCCGCCGAACGCGCTCGCTTGCCTGCTCGACCGCCCGCACTCAGTCACCCATCGCACTCAACTGGGTCAGTGGGTCGGGTCAGGTAAAATCGGGTTAGAGATAGTTCAGGTCTAGTTATTGACCCGTTTAGTTAATTGGGTCGGGTTTGGGTCATGTCAGTTGAAGGCAGATCTATTTCAAGTTGGATCCGAACTCGACCTGAAAATGCATTTTGACACCCCTAGACCATACGAGAGCATAATATTGAGACGAACAGATGCAAAAAATATATCACATTACGGTTGCAGAAATGACAAGGGAATACTTAGGATCCATTGGGCAGCCGCTTCTTCCCTTCCCTGAAGGCAGAAGACCTGCCCTTGAAATTTTACGTTTTGTCACATTGCATCCATTAGCTTGCCTGCAAATCTACTGACATTCTGAAGAAAGTTGCTTTAATCTATTCACTTGGTTAGGAAAAAAAGATACTTAGGGTTTAATTGTTGGGGGAGCTTGAGCTCCTTCCTTGTGACTCGGGCCAAATGCAAACATTGGTATGTGCATTTTTTTTTTTTTTTTTTTGGGGAAATATTTGGTATGTGCATTGATATTGCAATTAAATTCACTCAAAAGTCCCCAAAAAATGTTATATCAGAAGTGCATTTTTTACTGCAATTTTTCCATCCGTTCTGATAACGCATGCACAAGCTAATTAAGCACAGACCGAAGAATATGTGATACTTTCAAAAGGCTGCATTCTAAAACGCTTTGCATAAACAAATATTTACATTAAAAATAAATTCAAGGCATTAAAGAGGGAGACCTAAAACTAGATTTTTTATTATACCAAATTCAATTAATATTCAAAAATATAATCCACTGTATTTAACAACCCTAAAGTTAACCCTCAATATTTCATTAACTTTTATTCCATGCAGTTCTTCACTGTTCCTCTCGACCATATGCATTGTAGATGTAAGCGACATAGCGTGTTGTATTTGTTAGGCAGTTGGATTTGTTATTTCAAGCTTTGATTATGTTAGTATCCACTGAGAATTGACCAGATCTATTATTTAGCTTGAATTTGATAAGTTTTGGCCTTTTGTTAGAGGTTGTTTTGTCCCTCCCAAATCAAGTAGATGCAAATTACTCCATTTCATGTGCATAGTAATGCAGCCTAATTAAGTTCATCTACTTAGAAGCACTTTTTAGTAAGAAATTGATTGTGAAATGGCTTGATGTCGATTAAGTGCTCTTTATTTCAAATCAAACACTCAGTAAGTAGTTTTTTCAAATTACCTTTTACTTGAATCTATTTTGCAGCAAATCACAAAGCCCTTGGATGTCTAAATTAAGTACTTGTTAGAAAAGAAATCGAAATGCCTAAATTACTGCTGAAGAAACATCTGCTTTTCTGAAGAAACATCTGCAAAAGCTGGTACCTTCTTCCCTAGAGTGAACAATGCAGCTAGCTGGATTCATTCCTGTTATTGATAAGAGTTATAATGAAATTTCTCCACCAACTTGTCTACTTTAGTTTTAGGCTTCGTTTGGAATAGTTTTCTTATTGATTTCTAAAATAATTTTTTAATACAGAAATTTTTAGTTTAGAAATTTTTTTACTAAAAACTTATTTTATGGAGTAATAAGAAAGTTGTCTCAAACAAAACTTTACCCTTCTAGAATGACTGTTCTTGATGTTAATATTTACCTTGGATATCGGCAATGAATTCTCCTATCTTTATCTGCTACTAAACTGTAGGCATTAATTATTTCTCTTCTTAGTTTTAATGATCTCCAAGGTTTCAATCCATTGATGGTGGAAAAGATACTGTCACTTTCTGATTCTACTGCTGCTGCATTTTCTGATTACTGTACCTGATTTCACAAGCCACCCTAAATGGAAACAAGAGGCCATGCGACAAATCAGAGTGGGATTTGTCCATTTTCACTTGTTTCTTACCTGCTGTGCTATTTATTTTATTTGGATTGAAAGAAACAACAGGAAGTTTGGCCACAATGCTTCTAGCTCATCCTTTATTAGAGCCAAAATTGTTAAAAACTGTTAAGTTTAAGCTGGATAAATGGATATATGGTGATGTTATCAAAGAACATATTAAGATTTTGTTTGGAATAGTTTTTTAACTGTTTTCTAAAACAATTTTTTAGTATTCTGAATTAAAAAATTTTGTATTAAAAAGCTGCTTTAAAAAGCATTAGGAAAGCCACCCAAGCGAAGCCTAAACTTTGATTCAATATTGGATGGCTTGGGGTCCTCTAGCCGGCCTCTTTCTTGGTATTGCTGGATCTCTGATACTTGCGGTGTTCCCAGGTTTCCTTATTGGTATTGTTTTGTAGGGATTTGCTGCAGCTCTCTACACATTTTGTTGAATTTTTTCTTGAACTGGGTCTGGCGAGCTTAGCTTTCTTCCCTGGACGATGATGAATTCACTTCTCACCAGGCCTTTCTCCTTGGACGGGGCAACCGGGGGAATTACGTGTTGCCCGATCTCAGGCTTCATTTGGGACAACTTTCGTACTGCTTTCTAAAACGGCTTTATAGTGCAAAATTTCAAATTCAAAATTTTTTTTTATTAAAAAACTGTTTTAGAAAACCAAAAAAAAGTCATCACAAACGAAACCTCAATCTCTGGAGGTTTTGTTCTTCTTCCTCAGCTCATTGGTTTTTTTCTTGTGTTGGGGCTTTTGTCTCTTCTTTGCCTTATCCGTCTTTAGGCCTTGTTTGCTTTGTTATCTTTATTGATTTGAGCATTGCTAAGTTTTTATTGCAGCTCAATTTTTTTCAGTTTGTTATTTTCTGAGCAAGTGTACACATTATTTTCACTCACATCCGGACGATTTTTTACTGTTCGGACTCCTCACTGAATTTCTCTAGCCAAAGACTCATTAATAAAATAGAAAATTTTACAACTCACATTGGTCTGTTGGTTGGGAGTCTAAGCTATCAATCAAGAGGTCTTGAGTTCGAGTCTGTGTATGTGATGTGTGCGTGAGTCTGCCTTAATTGACTTAAATACCCAAAAAATGTTTATTTATTATTTATTGGGCCTATATATTGAACTTTGCGTTATGATACTATATTTTGAGTTTATGAAATTATATAATATATATATATATATTATTTAATTTCCATTTTCTTATAATTAACGAAAAATTTAATTAATGAAATAAAGCTAAATAAAATGGCAAATTTCTGGGCAGCTCTTTATTAGCTCTTTTAGTGCATTAAGACTGCTTTTTTCAGCTTTTTCCTTAGCTCATTAAAAAATTTTTTTTTGGCAATAATGTCAATCTATTCTTTGGTCTTCTTAATAGCGGTTTTGAGTACCGTTTTCTCCGAATTTTAATGTATTTAGTTTTATGTTTATGCACTCTTATGTATTTTAGTCATGTAGCTTCCACTCTTACTTCTTTCATAAGCTTTAAGTTGTAATCTTTTGTAATATGAGATCTATTGATGAATAATGTTGCGCCGTGTCGATTCCTCAAGTTTCAAACTATATATATATATAATATATAATATAATATATATATATATATATATATATATATATTACAATTGTTTCTTTAACAATTCTATTTTCATGTGACTCAAATCTTCCCACCCAACGCTACTGATCAGTGAATCAAATTGCTCATCAAAGTTGTGCATTTTCCCTTAAAAGCGTCCAAAGGAAAGTCAAGATCAAGCGAGCCCAAATCTTCTTTTTTTTTTTTTTTGGAGAAATTGAGGGAATAGCCCAAATTTCATTATAAGAAAATAGTAACAGAAAAGATTGTGAGAATAATCAGAAACAAAGAAAGGAACAAAAAAAGGAAAACCTATAGAAAAGAGCCAAGAGCAATAGCCTATCAAAAGAGTGTTAAAAATACATTAGCATAAAACCAGAGCAAACAGAAGAAAAGGAGCAAAATTGATGAGCCATCTAAAGCCACAAAATCCAAAAAGAAACCAATCGGCTCAGAAATATGAAATTGCATCCAGCCGGCTAGAAAAGTCCTAGGTTGCAAGAACTCCCATCATAGAGAGATCATGTTGCAAAGAGCCGCCATCCTTCAGAAGAAAGATGCAATTTGATCATCCTAGCCTCAAATATCAAACTCGAATAATTAGCAAAAATCGAGAGCAGTAGACAGGTGAGTTGAACATAAACCCACTAGATAAAAGCCACAAAATTTCATAACAAATATCATGAAAGGCATACAACATCAATGAAAAACCATCAAAATAAAAACACCACTACCAATAAGAGACTAGACAGGCGGAAACACAAGCAACAAAGAAAGCTAAATCATAGTAGTGAGCAAATTTCTAAACTCCTCAAAATTTATCAGATTCAAAAGCTTGAGATGAACTCCTTTTTTAATATTCCCACAAATAGTGATGTTGCTCTTAAAACAATTAATGAATTTCCTCGCATTCCTTTACTTCTAAATGTAATATATCAAGCACCATAACAACAAAATGTGCAGTGAAGTGTGATTTGCTCTTCCAACAATAAAATCTAAAATTTGAAATAGATTTGGGCACATAAGAAACTCTTTTATACTAGGAATGAGAGCTGAGATGATAGAGAAACAAAAATCACACTCAAAGAATAAGTGTGAAACACTCTCAAATTTTGATTTGCAGATAAAACAAGTAGGATCAGCATCAATATTTCTTTTGATAAGAGCATCAGCAGTTTTAAGACCTCCAACTAAACAAAGACAACCAAAAATAGAGAATCTAAGAGCATATAATGCTTATTCCAGACTGCAGAATGACAAGACAACAACTTTTCTCATTGTATTAATCTTGGAAGAAAGTCTGAAAACCACCTATATTTTCAGAGTTCTAAATCAAATAGCATCTACTAACATCAATGTGAATTGGGATAGAAAGAAACATGACAGGAAGCTAGCAACTTCCAACCAGTAGAGTCAAAAATAACAATAAGGCGAGATTCAGTGGGAAAAGAAACAATCTGAGAGTCATGGTGAGGGAGCTCAATAAGAGAAAAATCATTACACCAATGATCCAATTTAAGGGAAATAGGACTGCAAATCTTAACTTTAATACATAATCTATTTTTTGTTTTGAGGGTTGTAACACAAATACTCTTCCACGTAGAAGAGGATGCACATGAAGGGTTTTTTCAAGGAGTGTAGTATTTGTTAAAATCCAAGAAGATGGCAAAGAATAAAAGTTATAAATTCTATAAATCAGAGAGTAATTGAAAGCATATGTAAGAGCATGTGAAGCAGGAATTCCCCATATCATACCGGACAGAAATCCCCCCCCCCCCCCCCCCCCTAATTTTTTGGCTTGCAAGTATTAGCCCATGAAACCATATGTATTTTCCTAGCATTAGTGTCACCAAAATACAGGAAGTTTGCTAAAAAATTTCTCAATTTGCTTAAAACATGATTTAGCTATGATTACTCCACGAATCTAATAAGCAATTATGTTCCAAATGGTGAATTTAAGATATTAAAGTCTACCTACAAAAGAAAGAGATTTGGCTTTTCAACTAGAAAGCTTATTAGTAATAATATCAAGAAGGGGAGAGAAATCAGAAAGATGGACTCTCTTCATGTAAATAGGTAAGCCCAAAGTAAGTGATTTTAGAGAAAAAGGAGGGGGATGTTAAGAGAGGCACAAATATCATTTGCAATAGGATTATTCGGATGTAGGATAATGAAACTTTTTTGAGGATTTACCATCATGCCGGATGAATCAACAAAAGTGGCAAGGATTTCCTTCAAAATTGAGCAATTAAGGAGATAAGCTTTTCAATATAAGAATATCATCAGCTTATAGTAGATGAGAAAGGTAAAAATCGTTAATATCAACAGCCTCAAAACAATTCCCCATGACAAAAGAATCCAAAAAAAAGGAAAGGGCATCCATGGCAATGTAGAATAAGTACGGACTTAATGGACAACCCTGCCTATTAATTTTCCAGAAGGCACAACATTTCTAGATTATGGGATTTAACCAATTACTTGCAAGTAAAAACTTTGTTGGGGTTATTGAACCCTCTAATATTCCATGAGGCAATGGAAGGAAGGATCATTGAGATTTTGTGAAAGATGAGGAAACCTTTCGCGTGTGCATGGATCTATGAATTTTTTGATAAGAGGCCTTGGATGAAGTTTGATTAGGCTTTTCTAAATTGAGCTTGGTAAGAGAGTTGTTATCCACAAAAGCATCTTCCATAAAATTAGCTTTTGAATGAGATTCAATGAGAGCATCATATTTATTTACGGAAATTATAGAAGTGGGGTTTTTTCATAAACACTAGGAATAATGGAAGTCTGGATGTTTTTATCAATAGGAGAGTTAAGATTAGAAATATTTGCAGCTAGAGGGTTGGGAAGAGGTATGAATATGAAGGCGTGGTTCATGCTAATGATGTCAGAGGAAGATGGATGGTCTTCCGAAGTTATCTTTTCAGCATGTGGACTAGGAGTATGCGATAGAAGTTGTTGCGGGTTAAGCAAACTGGTTGTTTTAAGCTAGGGATGTGGTAGGAAGATGAAAGGTGTTCTAAAATGGGCTTTTCAATATTTTGTTTAAGAGAGAGAATGTTACAGGTTTATAGGAATTTGGGTTCGGGGAAGAGGAACCTTACTCCTATTGTTGGCACAGCTTTGAGCTACTTTACGGTCCCTGGATGGTCTTTTGCCTCTATTCAGTGGAATAGTCATAGCGGCCTTGACTTGTTGAGGGGAAGGCTGAGACGTGCAAGAACCCGAAGAGTGAACTAATGAGCCATAAAAGTCACAAGGGGTTGGCCGTCATTCATATTGAATTTTCATATTAATGATTTCATCCTCAATAGAAATATGAATGTGACCCATATAAACAGTTTTGTTGTTGACCTACATACAAACTCTAGCAGAGGTGAGGAGAGTTTTTTAAGCAATGAAAACGTTCACTGCTAGTGGAATACCAACTTTACTAGCTATCCCATATATGTTCTCCAAATTCCAACAGCAAAGGGGAAGAACCAGGATCTTAAACCAAATGGGAACAAAAGAGAAATTCTCCTTTTGTGGCCAAAATCTAGGAGACCATTTTTGCAAAATAAAAGGTTTCCCTAGAAAAAAAACCAAACTCCAACTGACCAAGCCATCTCAGAATCTACAGAGGAAGAAATCATAATGAGAAAAAAGCTACCGCTAAAGTTAAATAGTTGGATATTACCTTGAAGCTTCCATGTCTTGCCGATAGCCGCTAGAAGAGCCTCATAATCGGGTCTTCTCCCAACTGAGAAACCTATTAGAGAAAGGTTCCATTCTTCTGAGGCACCATCCATTTTTTCTTTCAGGAAGATAATAACCTCGTCCTCAGTGTGAAGAAATGAGATAGGAAGATCATTGGAGGAGAAGTAAGAAGGGTTAATGATATTCGACCAGTCTAACAACAAAGAAGAGGATGCTATAGAAGAGCGGGGAAGAGGAGGAAAGTTAAGGGGGTTAGGAGGGGAGCCCATGGAGAGAAGGGTCCCCTCAGAGGAAAACAGAGGGAGAGGCAGGGCGGAAGGGGGACGAAAAAAGGGCGGTTATGACACAAATCCTAGCATAGCAAATTTTGACTTACTTCAGGTCAAGAGTTGTTTTAATTTATAAATCATATTAAAAGTTTATTTGAGATGACTGTATTTTTTTATAAAAATAATGATAAATTTTGTGAGAAAAATAACATTTTTCGAAACTGTTGTTCAAATTATATTTTACCACAAAATTTTCTTAAAAGTAGTGAGAAAGTAAGAGCCAAATAAAAAAAAAAGAAGAAGAAAGTAATCTCAATTATATGTTGAATTTTATTTGATTTATCTCTTGAAATGCTCAACTCTTTAACAAATAATTTTATTTATAAAAATGAGCTAAGTTAAATCATTATTATGCTTTAAATTTTGTGTATAAAATAAAAGAGTTTTTAAAAAATATAAATATTTATGATGTGGAACAATTTAAAGCTTGCTTAGAATGAGAAAATGAGACACTATCCTATATGTTGTCTATTTGTCTTGTGAACTTCTCCAAATATTGGCTATAAGTTGCTTTCCACAATATGGTTGATGTAAGCCCATCAATTGTTGATATAAACAAATATTGGTGATTAGTATTTATATACAATAAAATTGAAAGATCAAATCTAAACTATAATGTGATAATTTTAATTAATCTTCTAATATAATGATACAGTGATCAGTACAAAAGATTTAGATTTTATTTGGGATGACTTTTTTATTGCTTCTTAAAATAAATTTTAATTAAAAAATTAAAATTTTTATAATAAAAATTATTTTAAGAAGCAGTAAAAAAGTTGACTCAAATGAAATCCTAATCAAACTCCCAAACTAATGATCAGTGGATCTTTAATTGTGTTTAATTGTTTAATTTTGATTAAGAAAAGGTAAGTAATCATTTGTGATACTTGTTTGTATTATTCGCAATATGAGGCAAAATTACTTAAAAAATGATTTGATATGAAACTTTAGGGAATGATCAATTTTTTTTATGTTACTAATATTTAATTAAAAAAAAAATTGTTTTTGGCAATCTTCAAAGGCATATCTTATGAATAAGTTAAGCTAAGCTAAGTTTTTAAGTAGGGTTAAGCCATTTGGTGGATTAAGAAAAAGGTTAGCCGTTGTAAGTAAAGATAAACAAAATTGTTTTGTTGCATTTTGATATATAAGCTTAATTTATAATAGGCAGAAATTATCATTGATAAATATTATTGAAATTCTTAATAATTATACTTAATTTATTATTGTAATGGTGTGCTCAGTGATTAATTTGTTTTCAAACTTAAATATTACATAAAAAATAGTTTTTTTAAATAAACAATTTTTTATTATGAGTAATTAAATAATTAATTAATTTTTCTTTTTTTTTATCTTTTTTTTTTTTTGGAAAATTTTGGGCTTAGCCCGTATATTTAACCAAAAATGTAAAGAATTACATCAGTAATAAAAGATAGCCATCAATAGGCCATCCGAAAAGCAAAAGGAACTTAGTCAGCAGGAATACAAAATTGCTGAACCAAAAATACAACATTAACAGTTATAAAAACTCAGATCGGAAAAGGCTCCATTGCCTGTGTGTCTGGACTCAGAATTAACAAAATTTGAATAAGAAGGATCTCTATTCCCTGGTTGCCCGAAGACCGTCCAAGGGAGCTGCAGAATGGAGCTTCATCATCGTCCAAGCGAGCCAAAAACTGCAGACTTAATGAAATGGGACAGCAACCTCTCGAAAAAATTGGGACCCGAAGCAGAAAATTCAGGCAGCTTAAAGCAGTTCCAGCAATTTGATAGGATCCTTCCATTGAGAAACTTTCTCAAACATCACTCTTTTAATGCCAAAAACAATCGATGAAGAGCTTTCCATTTTACTCCCAAATCTTCTAGAGTTTCTCTCTTTCTATAAGTAATAGATAGTGCAACAAGCCAAGAGTTTGTAAAAGTTTTTAACCAAAGAGAAACCTTTGTAAAGATCATTAATCCAGACAAATAGGTGCAGCAGAGACGGTATGAGAAACAGACATTTAGTATCCGGAATTAATGCGTTCAAAATAGAAAATGAATATGAGCACTCGAAAAAAAGATGAGATACCGACTCATCAAATGTGTGACATAAGCTGCACTTCGTAGGGATGAATATATGTCTTGTACGTAATGCATCAGAAGTTTTAAGGCCCCCCACAAATAGCAAGACACACAAAAACATTGTGTTTCAAACTATGTCTTTTATGCCAAATCGATTTGAACCAAGAGCAGTGAGGAATCTCAGCATAAAACTCATCAATAAAATTTTTAAACTTGTAGACCTTCTTGTTCTTCCACAATAAACAGGGTTCTACACCTAGAGATGCACAATCAAAAAGACATCTCAGCTGCATAGGTATAAAAACAGGTATATTCCATTGAGAATTATAATAAAAATCCCTCAGAAGAAGTTCAGGAATGGAATCTGCACCCCCCAAATAATTCTCAAGAGTGACATTATGGAACCAGTGATCCCAATTCAAAGAGATGGGGGCCTTGCTAGTGATGTTGAAATTAAAACAGTTTTTGGCATGTAAGGCAGTTCGGCATACAGATTTCCAGAATTTTGATGCATTGTTGGGAGGAGGGTGCCATGGAGAAGAGTATTTGCTGATTAACCAGCTGGATAGAGGTGAAGGACAATTGTACATCCGAAAAATTACAGAACAATTATTAGCAAATTGTAATGCATTAACAGAAGGAATACCCAACCCGCCTCTATTCTTAGGACGACATATCACATCCCAAGAAACCATATGCAGCTTTCTAAAGGACTAACAATCCCCAAAAAATAAGAATATGGAACTTGTCTTTTTGAAAAATTTGTGGACTATTTTTGGTAAGATAGAACCATGAATCCAATACCCAATCGTATTTTGGATTGTAAACTTTAAATACTGAAGTCTACCCCCAAAAGACAACAGATTTGCCCTCCAACCATTCATCTTTTTGTTGATGCTATCCATAAATGGAAGATAATCTTCAATTTTAAGCCTTTGAAATGACAGAGGTATGCCAAGATAAGAGATCTTAGAAGTAATATTGTGAATGGAGAGAATTTGATATATCTCATGCTGAAATCTAAGATGCTTGGGAAACATAACAGCACTTTTATCAAAGTTAATATGTAATCCCGTGGCATTGGCAAAATCACTAAGAATGCTAGCAAGCTTATGACAGTTCTTAGAATGGGCCTCACCAAAAATCAATACATCATCAGCATAAAGCAAATGTGTAAGAGTGAAGTTGTTAGCTGATACACCTTTAAATTCTCTCCCCTCCAATAGGTTTGAGAGGGCATCCATGGCAAGGCAAAAAAGATAAGGGCTTAGAGGGCACCCCTGCCTCAGCCTTGCAAAAGTAGAAAAATAGCCCTCCAAAGCACCATTGAGAATTATAGAAAGATTGACATCAGTAATGCACATTTTAATCCAGTTGACAAAAGTATTGGGAAAACCTTTTTTAGCCATCCTAGGCATCAGGTAAAAAATACTGCAGCCGCGCTCTTCATGGCCAATTTAATGGATCTCACGGGCCGCCTCCGGCGGCGGACTGTCAGATACTGAGTAACTCTCACGCGACTTCAACATCTCCATTCAAAGTCCGGGCAACCTGCCCAGACCGCCAGACCGGAGAGAGAGAGAGAGAGAGCGAGAAGCCGTGCTACTCTCTTCTTGCTACTTCTTTCGCCGTCTTCCCCTTCAATTAAGATCCTAGATTCGGAGAGTAAAGAACCCCAATGCGAATCATCTCCTTCACTTACCAAGCCCTCGATTTGCTCAGCTTCGCAAGCTAGTGAAGGGCTAAACGGCGAAAAAATGTCATTTTGGGGTACTTCCTTCCTAAGCAACAATCTCTCCAAGCGAACCCCAATCTTTGGCCTCCACCTCTATGTTTTCATCGGAATCTGTGTCGGCGCCTCCATCGTCCTCTTCCTTTTCCTCCTTTCCCTCTGCTTCGCCTTCCGCCACCGCCGCCGCTCCCTCCCTCCCCCCTCCTACTCCTCCAGCCGCAAACCCCTCAAGCTCCACCTCCGCGACGCTACCCCTCCCATCTCCAAGGAAATCCTCAAAATAGTCCACCAACGCTCTCCTAAACCCGCTGCGGCCCCTCCAATCGGCAAGATGGAGGTGGTCATCCGCAAGGAAGACCATCTCGCCTTGATCTCCGACCAGCAACGCCCGCATCCAATCGAGGAGAGTAGTCGCACCGCCGCCGATTGCTCGGCGTTGGTTAAAGGATTAGTGCGTCTGCCGGAGGTTTCGCATCTGGGCTGGGGTTACTGGTACACGCTACGGGAGCTCGAAGTGGCCACCGGTGATTTTGCTGATGAGAATGTGATCGGAGAAGGGGGTTATGGGATCGTCTATCGTGGAGTGCTGGATGATGGAACGATCGTAGCGATCAAGAACCTGCTCAATAACAGGTTTTTTTTTTTTCTTTTCCACAACTTGGTTCAATTTTGCATGACGGTTTGACATTCTCTTCATTTGGAAAAAAAATTTTTTTTCAATACAGATCTGATTAAAATATGTTTTGAATTTGCGTTGAAATAAATTTAATATAAAACATAATTAATTTTTCACATATTATACAAAAATCTTAATAGTTTAACGGTATTTAGATTATTATTATTACTATTCAATTATTTATGATTTTCATTTACTTTCTATCAAAAACAACAGAATTTTTTTAAAAATCTTTAGCAGTTTAGTCGTAAATTATTAAAATTTAGTAGTTAGTTGCTCGAACTCTGCCTCTATGATCTCGCCTAGAAATTCTTGCAGAATAGTAAATTCAACTCCATTGTTCAGTTTCAGTGACTGTCACACGCTTGACATGGAAATTAACTGTTCCTTATACGCTAAAGTTTGAGCTTTTTTTGGCGACAGAGGGCAAGCTGAAAAGGAATTCAAAGGAGAGGTTGAAACAATTGGGCGAGTTAGGCACAAGAATCTGGTCAGATTGCTTGGCTACTGCGTTGAAGGGGCCTATAGGTATCTAATTCTTCTCCTCGCATTTTCTTCTTCATTCCTGAAGTACTAAAATTTTAGCTGAAGATGAATCAGCTTTTAAAACTTTCGTTCCTTCAAGTAAAGCTAGCTTTTTTCTGGTAGGATGCTGGTTTATGAGTATGTAGACAATGGTAACTTGGATCAGTGGCTTCATGGTGATGTGGGGGATGTAAGTCCACTTACTTGGGACATCAGGATGAACATAATACTGGGAACTGCTAAAGGGTAACAAGTTTTCCTTTCCTGATTGCTATTTAGAATTTGGTTAAGGATATTTTAGGGTGTATTCGTGTGCAGATGTGAATCAATAGAATTTGATCTTTAATGGATTGATGTGGTAGTGAAAAAAATCTCTCTTATTTTGTATGCTTAATGATGCCAGTAAGTAAATTCACTGCTTAATCCTATTGTTTGTAACCTAATCTTCGTTTGTGACGACTTTCTTACTGCTTCTTAAAATAATTTATTAGTATAAAAATTAAATTTTTGTACTAAAAAGCTGCTTTAAGAAGCAGTAAAAAGCCGTCCCAAAGAAAGCCTTAGTTTAGTTTTAAATGATTTGTGGCATGTTGCCAGATTTCGACTTCTTGCTAATTTTGAAGTGTATTGGTTTGATAGCTCTTTCTCAACCATAGTAATTGATAAATGCATATAAAATGTTGCTGGACAATCTGAGTGTAGTTAATATGAAGACAAACTAGTATATTAACTTTATGAAGTCTTTTGGAAGCAAGTGATTAAGGCTTTGTTTGGGACGTCTTTCTTTCTGCTTCTTAAAGTAGCTTTTTAGTACAAAAATTTTAATTTTTTAACTAAAAAATTGCTTTAAGAAACAAAAATAAAGCTGTCCCAAACGAAGCTTATGTTATGCAAGTCTGCGAAAGTGATTAATAACGGTGATATTTAGGTGCCGGCGACTGCAACCAGTTAGTTTAGTTGGTAAAAATTTTTAAAGCTAATTATCAAAATTCTGAGATATTATCCTGTCTACATCTAATTTATGCTTACTCATACTAAATCACTACACACAAAAAAAAAAAGAGGTTCCTTTTAAACTGCTTCACATTCTTTAATATTTGAAATGTACATAATGTTGAGGAGTTCTGCAGCTTAGCATATCTTCATGAGGGGCTAGAACCAAAAGTTGTACACAGAGATGTGAAATCTAGCAACATACTACTTGACAGGCAATGGAATCCTAAAGTGGCTGATTTTGGGCTTGCCAAGCTCTTATGCTCGCAGAGGACTTATGTTACGACTCGCGTCATGGGAACATTTGGGTGAGTTCCTTATTCCATAGTCTTAGGTTTCATTTGGGACGGCTTTTGTACTACTTCTTCAAGCAGCTTTTTAGTACAAAATTTTTAATTTTTGTACTAGAAAGCTATTTTAGGAAGCAGGAAGAAACCGTCCCAAACAAAGTTTTAACATCATATGCTCATAATGTTCATGATAATAAACAACATATGCTAGACTTGGCTTTGTGAATCCTCATCTTAAACTTAACATGAAAGTAAGCACTGAACTATTTTTTTATTTGCAGCTATGTGGCACCAGAATATGCTAGTACTGGAATGTTGAATGAGCGAAGTGATGTTTACAGCTTTGGAGTACTAATCATGGAGGTCATAACTGGTAGAACCCCAGTAGATTACTCAAGGCCACCTGGAGAGGTTGCTCCCATGAAAAACAAAAATCGTTCTTTTTCTAAGTTTTGGACTGTTTTTGATGAGGTGACTGTAAGTTAACTTGTATTTTGTAGGTGAATTTGGTTGAATGGTTGAAGAATATGGTTGGAGAAAGAAGATCTGAGGATGTTATGGACCCTAAGATCTTCAAGAAGCCTTCGTCGAAGATGCTGAAACGGGCACTGCTAGTTTCACTTCGTTGCGTCGATCCGGATGCACTCAAGCGACCGAAAATGGGGCATGTCATCCACATGCTTGAAATGGAGGGCTTGCTGCTTCATGAGGTAATTTGTTTTTTCTTTTTTTTAATAGATTTTTTATAATTTTTATTTGATATATCAGATAGATCATTTGATATTTTCTTTGATCATTTTTGTAGGATTGGAAACATGGGCAAACTGTATATGATAAGCCATCTATACAGAAAAAGTGATACAAGGAAAGCTTAGTGGCCATTGGTTTTATGTGAATTGACAGTGAAAGTAATAGATTGACTACAGTTTTGTTTCTGTTTTTTGGTCCAACATATTCAAATAATGCTTGACTCTGAAGTTCTTATCTGACACTACTTGTAAGGGATCCAACTAGAATGTGATTTTTCTTTTTTGTTTCTTATAATAGAAAAGGATTCAATTTGATAATATTTCATGATAAATCAGCTTGATTTTGGGCTTTCATATTGCAACATTTATGGAGTAATGCCTATTTATAGATTTTTGAATGATGTTTTTGATATTTTTTGTCAAAATTTTGGGCACTTTATCCAACAACAACAACAAACAGCAAAACATGCCTTTATCCTGCTATGCTAGGTCGGCTGCATGAATTCTTTTACTCTCTTATGTTCTCTTAAGAGTCAAATTCTCGAACTTTTATTTGGTCCGGTGAACGTACGTAGAGCTACGTTCGGCCGGCACTAAGATCGCAGGCACAAAACGAGAAATACCGAGCAATATCAATAATAATGAGAAATATCATTATGTGAAGATAAAATACCGAGCAATACCGAGTAATACCAAAAAATACCGAGTTTTTTCTAGAAAAAATCGGTATTGCTTGGTATTACTCGGTATTGGTCTTCCCAAAGTGGTATTCCTCGTTATTATCAAACAATACCTAGCAATACCGAGTAAAAATCGAGTAATAATCCTCTGATCGATCAGCAGTTTCAAATTCTCATCTAAATCTAATAAAGAAAGTTCATTTTACACTTCATCGAACATTAAAAAAATTGTAATTATTTTATGTTTTTGGTACATCTAAGTATGTTAAAAAAAACTTAGAATTGAGTGACTCCAAATATACTCAATAATTTTTTGTGTTTGATTTAAGCCCATAGGAACTTTGATTTAAGTGTTATTGATGTTGTTGGTTTGTTATCTAAACGTTTTATCTTAACTATGTATTTGTTGAAAATAAAATGCAGATGATTGCATAATTAATCACTTAAGTTTCTTGGCCAAAATACTTCAGTAATTTAAGATATGAAAATTGCGTGAAAATTTAGGCTTTATCAAATCAATTTTTTTTGTTGCGAATATTTAATTAAAAAATAAAATAATTATTTTTGGCAATCTTCAAAGGCAGATCTTATCAATAAGTTAAGCTAAGCTAAGTTTTTAAGTTGGGTTAAGCCATTTGGTTGATAAAAAGAAGAACAAACTTAGCCGTTGTAAGTAAAGATAAACAAAATTCTCGAGAAATTATGTACGGATCATAAATGAAAAAAATTGTTTGAATTTATTTGGCTAAATTATAAAATGAGCAGTTTTTATATGTGATACATCCTCGGAAAATTATCTTGATTGGGCACGAATCTCAAGGCAAAATCAAGTTGGGAACTTTCTAAATTAAAATTGGGACCATCCGAACTCTGATTTCAGCAAACTTATAGTCAAACTGAACGTCTCGAGAATACGAACCAAACGACACTAAATCCAACCCAATCCGAGCCCAAATGGGTCCAAATCAAGGTTAGAAGCGTTGTTGGAAGGTTAGAACCACAATTTGGATTACCAAACGGTTTCCAAACACAACGTGCTTATAGTCGAATCGAACGGCTCGACGAGAGGAATCCAACAAGCCCAAGATCATCAAATTTTGACATCACTAAGACATTCAAATGTCCATCAAACGAACCACAATCAAGGGATTCAATTTCAACTGTCCATCCAAGCCATTCCCAATATGCCCATGATCTCCCACCTATTTACGGGTCATGCCACTCTAAGAAATCTATAAATAACTCCTACTCCCTCTTGAAAGGGAGGCTCAAAGCAAGAGAGCAAGGGAGAGATCGGAGATCGCTCTTGCCTCCTCGCTCCTCCTCAACCACCACCTGGAGTTCCGCCGACCCACCACTTGAGGCCTTGATCTCCACAGAACCACCACCTGAGGCCTAGACTTCTACCGTACCACCATCTGAGGCCCGAAATTTTGTCGGATTTTGCATGACCACCACCTGAGGCTCGGACTATTGCCAGACCACCACATGAGGCCTGGACTTCTGCCGGACCACCACCTGAGATCTTCTGTCATACCACCACATGAGGCCCGGACTTCTACCGGACCACCACCTGAGGCCCGGACTTCTGTCAGACCACCACCTGATGCTCAGACTTGTGTCGGACCACCACTTGAGGCCCGAACTTCTGTCGGACCACCACCTGAGGCCCGGACTTATGCCAGACCACCATGTGAGGCCCGAACTTCCGCCAAACCATCACCTGAGGCCCGGACTTCAGTCGGGCCACCACCTGAGGCCCAGACTTCTACCTGACCACCACCTGAGACTCGGACTTCTGTCGGGCCACCACATAATGCCCAGAGTTCTACTATAGTACTTCCTTACTACAACGATCTTTCTAACCTCGGTCTCCTGCCTACTACAGTCTTTCTAACCTCTATCCTATCAAATATGGTCTTGTCGACCAAAAAAATATGTCTATGTTGATTATTGTAACTCCCACCATATAATGTGTTCTATAAGAAGTACATTTGTGACATCAAACTAAGGTCTTCTTCCTAAGAAGGGCATCATTTGTAATCGACTGCAAATACTAATGGATTCATTCAAACTGAGCCAGGGCCCATGATTTTTCCCCATTTTTAAGGGATTTCACTTAAAAACTATAGCGTCTCTTATGAATGCAACACCCTCTCTTTTATCTGCTTGTGTGATGGATCTTCGTACAATGCTAACATGCTAAACTTTATATTTCTCTACCTCCGTGAGTACTTCAGGATGCAACAGTTTGGCGTCGTCTGTGTGAACGTGGTTCCCGACTGGGGGCAACTTTTACTCCAACCTCAAAAGGTCATTCATGTCAACTTCCTGACATCAGGTATTGCTGCATTAATTTTATGGAATTAGATTCGAACTAGGGGCAACCTTAACTCCAACTGTGGTCAAGAAGATCTCTCTAATACTTTCAAAATCAAAATGATATATCAGAAAACTCCAAAAAAATGCAAGAATGCTTTAGATAAATTTCAAACCACATATAGTCCCTACGTGGACTTCTACTCCTTGGGTAGGGTCTTAATCTCGACCTCAAAAAGACAGTAACGATCTAAAGATTGATCATTCTTCACCTTTGATTTGTGATACATGTGGCATTCACCCCTCCCAATCAAGGAAATATCGATCCTAGGGGGGGTTTATTCGACCTCTTCCACCACCTGAGGCCCAGACTTCTATCAGGCCACCACGTGACGCCCAAAGTTCTACCAGAGTACCGCCCTACTACAACGATCTTTCTGACCCCAGTCTCCTACCTACTACGATCTTTCCGACCTTTATCCTATCAACTATGATATTGTCGACCAAACAAATATGTCTATGTTGATTATTGTAACTCGATCCCACCATATAATGTGTTTTATATGATGTACATTTGTGACATCAAACCAAGTCCTTCTCCCTAAGAAGGGATTCATTTGTAATTGACTGCAAAATACTAGTGGATTCATTCAAACTTGGCCAAGCCCCATGATTTTTCCCCATTTTTAGGGGTTTTCACGTAAAAATTCTAGTGTCTCTTATGAATGCAACACACTCTTTCTTATTTGCTTGTGTGCTGAATCTTCGTACAACTCTAAGATACTAAACTTTATATTTCTCTATCGTCACAAATACTCCAAGATGCAATAATATAAATATAAGCTATAGAAGCAAATTAACAAATTAATTTAAAAAGAAGCTAAAATGGAGTATCAAGTAACATATGAATAGTCGAAAAATATTGATCCGATTTCATGGAAATTAGAATTTAACTATTCGGTTTCTATAGAAATTGGAACTTTAAAAACCATATTTTAATATTCTGGTTTCTATAGAAACCGAATAATTAAATTTCAATTTCTATAAAATCTAGAATTTAAAGTTCTCATTTCATTTTTTGTAATTTTTTTAAATTTGTATCATTTAAATTTTTTTAAAATATTATACTGTTATTTAATGGTTTTTACATTAGAAATTAAATTCATTAAAAATAATTGTTAATTTATGTTTTATATTTAAAATATAGTTTTGTTATATTAAAAAAATTAATTAATGTGTAAAAATTAATTTGTCTTTTATATTTAAAAT